CCACACAGCCAGAAATAAAAAACTAAATCAGCATACAGAGAAAGTTCTTCTAATATTACATTTTCAAGTCTGAAAGCTACAAGGAACAAAGATGCCTGCTATTTACCTTGAAATGTAATACACCAAACAACCAAAATGTGGCACACACAAAACTCAATGCTATCTAGCTCTCTTACTAACAGAAGAGGCTCAAAGGAGCTCAATCTGGAACCCATCCTCACCACCCAATATATGATGGGAACTTGACTCTTGGTGACCAAAAATACCCCTGGTCATACCATTGTGTGGCTTTTATATTTCCCACACAGTCAGCTCAATCTATCCAATGCCATCAGAATACAATTACTTCTCTATTTATGTGGTCAGGTTTGAATAAGAAAAGAATGGACACTGTCTATCCTACATAGAAAAACATAAAGACAACTTTGTGAGAAATTTAAATGTAATAAAATAACAATTTTCTTTTACCTTCAAAGATATCTCTGGTGGGTCAATGGTTATGTCAAATCTGCCAATGCCTGATAGATTCAGAGACAAATTTCCTTATTCATGGGAAAAATGAAAAAAGATTGTAATTGATTTAATGAAGAATGACTCCAACGATAGTTCTATACACTATTGTGTCTACCACTGTCATACACCAGCCCTATAAGTAAGGATAGTAAATTTTCTTCTTCTAGCTCAATTAGACAAACAAACCAGAGTAGTTTCTCAGAAATCTACGTACAAGGGATTTCTCTGTAACGATAAAACAGAATATATTGACAACGGTTACAAAACTTGAAATGTTTCATAACTTTTCATGGCAATTCTACTTTCATTGATAATTCAAAATTGATCGCTATTAACAAGATTCCGTACTGCCGGGTATCTTTTCAGTGATAGGTCATAGATGACGTCAAATTGTGATGTCAAAATCTCTCTTTATACTAATCTCAAGAAAATGACTTATCATGCCACAATGGTACGTCAAAGGTCATTCTTATCTCGCTATTGTTGGCTATATGTTGACCTTTTTTCAGTTCTCACGTGTAACACGCGTGCAAATTACAAGTGCCACGCTGTCAAAATTTCGTCTGTCTTGACTTTCTGTGATACTTTTTTCATGTTAATTGTTAATAAGTAATAACATGATTTCTCGTGTAATTTGGTGGAAATAAGCACTTGTAAATTTATCAGAGACCACAACATTTTTTGATCACTTATTACCAGTCATGTGATTATCTAAACAGATAAAACCCTTCAGGCGGCTGGTATGTCTCGTGGTTTAACCAATTCATCGAATTTCGCGTGCTTCTATTGGCTCCTTTGGGTCACGTGGTACAAAATCATTAGACAGCATTATCAGTTTGATGATTTCGCCAACCCTCACGTTGAGCTGTGCAACAGTGTTTAATTCTATCTGTAATGTAAAGCAGCCCCACTTCTTTGATGGTTTCTATTACTCCTCTTATGGTAGTTCTCTCCCTTTCGCGATACGCTGCGAGGAGTTTCTCACGGGATCTGTATCGGGGCCCATGCACCTAATCTGCTTCCCAAAAATTTCTTTGCTCGAAATAATCTGTAAATTTCACTGTTAGGTAATTACCTGGGGGTCTTTGCCTGAGGATATTTAACTCTGTTGAATCACCAATCACAACATTTTCAGCATGCACTGTGATATTGCTGGGGTAATTGTCTGGGGTGACTGTAACCAAACACAGAATTATCAGGTTAACACAGGTACATAGAAGCTAATAAATAGGGATGGAATAGAAAAGGAGCTTCAGAAAAATGGTTGAGGGTCAAGGGCATAAGCACTTTTACAGTTTGGAAAAGGGAGGAAACAAAATTCAAGCTTTTCCAAAGACGGAAGGCCTTGTAAGTGACAAGTAATTATCTTCGTACGAGAGAGTTCGTTTGAAAAAAAATTGGAAAACTACAAATAGACGAGATTGGCAGAGGAAAAACGTATAGGAACAATTACCACAATTGTTTTAAAATACCATTAACAGATATATTTGTCTTGTCTTGCACGGGACTTTCTCGAGACTATTAATTTCAGTAACAGCTCTCGTTTAGGAAATTCTTTGTTTATCAGCTCTGCAAGGTTCCTCTTTGGCGGAAATGATTGTGAGGCAAAAAAATGTCTTATTTTTTTTGATGCTCGGACATACCTTTAACTTGTTGCTGAGAACAGGCACTTTGCACAACATCACATGACAGTGCTGCTGAACTTGGTGCTTTTGAATGTCTTGCGTTTCTTTTCTGTATTCTTTTCTGTATTTTTTTCCTTCTTCTTGGCTCTAGCTCTTTCAAAATTGAAACAGTAATACACATTCAATTCCAATATCAATTTTTAACGTTTAAGATTCTGCAATTTAGTACTGCAGTACATAACTTCAGACGGTTAAATAGGCCACACTCAACCCGATTGGCTATGTGGCTAATTCACATTACTATGGCAAAAAAACATAGGAAAAGCAAGTATATATTACTGTCACGCTGCTGTACAAAGAACACTTTAGAACATAATATGACTTTTTGTCTTCTTAAAATGCAGCTTTGTTTCATTTTGATTACGTGATTATAAAATATCCCTTTTTTGGCTAGCCACGCAAAGAGTTGTCTCAGTTTAGTTTCCTTTACGTCGTAGAAGTATATTTAGCCTTTTTTCACGCGAACATTTAGTTTTAAGGAGTTGTCCCCGGAGCAAAGAGGAGTTTTATAGGAGTCTTTCGGAGTTTTTTTACAACTTGGAGTTTTCTCATCCCCGGAGTCAAGATCAGACGTAAGTCACGATCGTTGAGTTCCTATTAGTTTTTAGTTGTGTTTTCTGTCGTCAGATTTGTAGTTTAGCTCGTTTCCTTAGCTTAGACAAATCGTGCATTCCTTGTTAGTTTTCACCGCAAGTGTTGTAACAAGTCGACTAGCCTGTTTACGTGAACTTAGTCCAATAAACGTGTGTCAGAGTCTGGTGTCCGTCCTGTACTTCACTGTGGTTGACCTGGCGAACCCGATTACGCTACACCCCGTGTCTGCCTTCCTAGGAACGCGACAATTATCAAATGTCGTGACAATGGTTGTGAGCGAACACAATTACCAGTTTTTTTTAACTCAAAATTCTTTTCTAGTCGGGAAAATAATTTCTAGTATTTTTTCGATAAGATGAAATTCTATGTCTATAAATTTTGTTTTGAGAGAAAATTCTTACATGAGAAAAACTTTTACGAAAGTGAAATTTGATGGATGGTTGATTCCTCTACAATCACCCTGCTAAGAACAATAAGGAGTATAACTCTTTTTCCACAATGTGATGTGAGTTCGGCACAGGCCGACACCTGGCGCAATTCGTAGTTTGAGAGAGGCACTGTAGGAATTAAGTGTCTTGCCCAAGAACACAACAAAATAGCTCAATAGGGGCTTGAAATGCAATATTTTGATTCGGAGCTCGATGTAATTCCTTTAAGTCCAAATGATAGTGGTGATGAGCATCCAAGGGAAAAGCAAATTTACCTTGAGAAAAATGTACCAAATGCGAAAATAAAGTTATACACTTAAACTCAGCATTCAGTTTTCCTAGATTACAGTTTTAAGTACAAGATATACAGGGTTTGAAACAACAGTACATATTCCATGGAACTGTCATACCTTTAACTGAGGAGGAATCGGCTCCGCCACTGCTAGAGGATGAGTCTGCCAAAAAAATAGTTAGCACTCGCCAAATGAAAGATAAAGCTAAGCTATTTGTAATACTCCAAGTATCTTAAGAGTAACCCCTTAAGCACTGGTCATTTGTAGAGCTGTAACAGCTGACAACTGACATGACATAAGTCACCTTAAAACAGACTGATGAAGAGCACTACAATATCTAACATGCCGTGCGTGCCACATTCTTTGATCTGAAGAACTGCCTGAGGATCTTAAGTATTGTGCTTCTTATTAACCCTGGGGTGTACGAGTCTTATACATCTCAAAGATCCTTTGATTCCATTTTGTTGAACTCAAGTAGCTCTCCAGTCAAGTACCATACAGTTACCTTGCATATAACCTGAATAATTGCCACAGTTTTCCAAGTACTCTCCCACACATGTGGTTCTCAGGCTTTCTGGTAAAGGTGCACTATAGTTAGGCAGGGTCTTTAGTCTACCTGCCACTGTGGAGCAGAAAATTATTTATAACGTCAATTGTTTACTCAATTACTTTACTAAACCTGGCATTCATACGGAAAAATATTCCTTGGACCACTGCCCTCTTTATAATTCCACTACTCAATTGGTTTTTCATGGGATTTAATTTTGTAAAACGCAGCAGTTATCATATAAATAATTCTTAACAATCCTTGAATGAAATAACTTGAATTTGTTGCAGAAGTTTTCCAGCAGCGAGTTATTGAATCAAATAAATAGAGTATAGGGTTTTTTCTTTCTTTTGACAGCAATATTGCAGTAAAAAATAAATAAATAAATAAAAAGACATGACAAGTAAGAGTGTCAAAATTTCAGACAGGAATTTGATTTGCTCCTAGGGAAAATAAAATAATCAGGGAGAGAAAGACAATTGCAAACCATGAACTAGAAGTTGGAAAACTTTATCCAAGATGAAATCCATTCCAGTCACTATTATTATTCTTACTATGATCATCATTATCCAATGAGATCTGCATCACATCTCCACCTTCCTGAAGAGCATTTTATAAGGGTGAAAGACAACTATCGAATGTTTAACATTTTGTGACATTTATTACCTCTATAAAGTTTCCATAGCAATACTAAAGCCTCTTGGAAACAATCTCAAGTTACATGCCTGTAACTCATCAGTGAGTTTGGTGACCCCCGTTTTTTTGTTTATCTTTATACAAACAGTTCAAAGCCACTTTCCTATCAGTTATGGATGGAAAAATTTAAAAAGTAAGCGACTGAGATACATTCCTATAGCCTTCCTTGAAGAGGAAAAAAGTATTATGTCAAGACTCGCTTGTACTTTATCTCAAAAGGGAGGATAACGCTTCCAGACAGTCAAATTATGCAGCATGATTATGTTAACTTTACATGTACCTATCTTGGGCTTATAGTTGTCCTGATCCATGATTTTTTCCTGTGAGTAAACCTCTCTTGATTTCACCAAATGTAAAGCTGCAATGAAAAATTTGAGACTGCATGTGGCTACTGGTAAATCACAATAGGGGTTGTATAATGATGCTAGAAGGTAGTGTTGCAGAAGATTTGAAATCACACGCAAAACAGAAAACCTGCCGCATCCTACATATTTCAGAGCGCCCTGTTCCACAAGAGAAAAATTAACATTCAACCAATAATTAAATGGTCACAAATATTCCTATTAACAACAATATTAATCAGTCGTTTTGACTCTTTTTTCTCACAATAGTAAGACTTCTTTATATTGACCCATTCACAAAAAACTACGAAGAATATCAAAACTCTTAGTGCATACGATTAGCTATGGTTTCCTGCATACTAATAGAAGAAAATCAACAATACTGCATAAATTTACTTAAAATTCAGTCTCTTCTCTTGTCATAAGAAAAAAAAATTATCCAACATGTCCTAGCGTAACAGATAAGACCTCCTTTGTTTAATATTTTATACATTTTAAACGTTCTTCGCGAAAACTGAAGCAATAAAGACAGAGAAATTCTTAATATTTTTTTCATCTTGTTCTCTGATCGCAGCCTCTCATCGCCTACCTACTGGTGCGATCCATCGCTTAGTTACAGAATAAAGCAGCTTATTAATGATTGCAAATTATTAGAAGTTATTACAAATTACAAATAATAATAATATTTACCACAAAATGCAAATAGCGATGAAAACAAGACAGTCTCACAAAAACAAATAAAAGTCGCGAGGAAGCCCAAAGAGAAACCATGGGGCTTATAGATATTGGGCTCCCTCAGAGTAAAAAAAAAAAATAAAGTTAACAGTAACAGTAAGGCCAGGATTGAAGGTAAAATACAATGAAGGCAAATATAGGTTAACTAATACATAGACTGAGTTACCAAAATATAAAGTATGGTTAAGTATGATAAATTATGTAACAATGTGCTTAAAGATAATATCAAATATGTGAAGAATGATACGTAGTTACTATAAGAACTTTTAAGCTAATAATTCACATCAATTTTTTTTTCAGTTTCGTTTTGAATGAGAGGAGGGAATTAGATTCTTTAATATCATTTTCTACAGTTATAACAAGTAGGTCCTTGAAAACTCAAATTTACGAAGGTTGGTTCTACAAAGAGGAAGTTGAAAGGAGTTCGCGTATCTAATGGCATACCGTATTACTTCGAATAAACGCCGCACCTGAGAGCCAAAATATCAATAACCGCCGCCCTCGAATAAACGCCGTACCCAGGGTGCGGCATTTATTCGAATATTAGACAAAAGGAAATAATTATAGTGCAAGACAATAATAGAAAGCCCTTTTATTAATTTCTTAATGTTTATTGGCCCCTCTAATGTCTGTCCTAAATAACAAACAATAAAATGACAAGATTGCTCTGATTGCAGCTCGTTCGTCTTAAGTCAGACCCGGATCTTTTCTTTCATTCATCGCGATATTCTTCAGTTCAAAATGTGAATACTTATTCGCCTTTTCATTCAGCTCCCTGACCAAAATTTTTGCATTCTTCAGATCTGGGATCATTGCCGTGAACTTTGCTGGCACTGCAAATCCGAATTGAAACTGAAATATCAAGTGTACCTGTTTATCGCATTTCAGTTAGTTGCATATTTTGAAATGTAAAGCGTGTAAACCCGCAAAAGAACAGACGACAAACTGAAACAGGATTTATAACGTTAACTTTGACAAGTGCAGAGCGGAGCTCTCTTATTAGTACTGTAAGGATAATGTTTAAAAGACACAGTAAAACACCCGCAACATCGAACGGATCTGATTTCTTGTTCTACTTTTTAAATTTGGTTGTTTTTTTAAAAATATAAACAGCTTATCAAATAAACGCTGCCCTCGAATAAACGCCGCACCCAAATCGTGGAAAATTTAACAAACGCCGCGGCGTTTATTCGAAGTAATACGGTAGCTTTGGACTTGTTTGTTTAAAGAAAAGTAATTGTTTACCCAATTCTAGTTGTCTGATATCGAAAAGTTTTAGTAGCTCTAATTCTTTGAAGATAGGTCTGAATGAGAATCGAAAAAAAGAGACAAAACGGCGAACATTGGTTTTGTATGTAGATCCCCAGACAATGATACAATAATGAAGTTAAGGATAAACTTAACAATAGTAACGAGTTTTTAGACAAGGTTTAGGTAGACAAAATCTTGCTCTATTAATGACTCCTGTTGATTTCGAGATTTTACAAGCTACTTGGGAAATGTGCGGTTTCCGAGTTAGATATTCATCAATGACTACACTGAGGAAGACCATTTCTCGCATCGGGAAAATGATACTTTTTCTGTCTAGGCTTAAATAACATGAGGTTTGTTTTCTTCAGGTTTAAAGGCCCATTTTCAACCGAGATGCCTTGCGCGCCCAGATAATTTTTCATATATGAAAAATTCGCTATTTTCCTCGTAGTTGCGGAATCGCTTTGATATCTTCTTCCATCTTACTAATTAGGGCTTTCAAAGTTCCATCTTGAATCATGTGGCAACAACAAACTATCGTAGTATCCATATCTGTAAATAGTTTTTAATTCTTACATGTATGACGGTGAAAAACGTCATTTGAAAAGTTGATCCCGCCGAAGAACCGGTCTAGAGGAAGGCCGGGTCTGCCCAGCTCGGCAACGGTTATTCGACTTCGAGAGTCTGTGTATGATTTATGGAGGGCAAGGAAAACAACAATGGGTTTCGGTAACACTACAGACAGTGCTTTTGCAGAAATGTTATTGCATTGTTCCTACGATGGAACTAGAGAATTCTCGCAGGGGTGCATTTTCCTGCAATGTGAGAAAGAATTCTTTCTTTGGAATCCCTCATACCTAACCTAATTATAGTAAAAAAGAATAGTACTTTGGCCCGACTGGGAGAATTTGTTTATTCTACACAGCTATGCAGTTGCTACATCAAAACACTGTTGTTCTCAGAACCTCCTTTCTTCTTAGTTACACTTTGACTTTAACTTATAAAGTTATTAGGAGTGAAACTGACAACATTTTCTGTCATTTATGAATATCGAGGTCAGAGCCGTAATCAGAATCTTCATCATGCAAATCTGGCAGCTCTAAGGCTTTGAAAGTTTCCTCTACTTCTTCTGCAACAGAATGGAATGACTGGATGTCATCGTCACTTGCCTGTACACCAGCATCATGTACAATTACCACACAAACATACTCAATTGCAGATCCTGGACCAGCCATAGGTGGTGTTGCTGTGTTGAAAATCTTTGGAGGGCACTTGTGAAGAGTTTTAGCTCCCAACCAGGATGAAACAGCCGAATCAATGAGAACTTCACATTCCTTGCTCCCGACTGCTGGGCCATTGATCAAAATGTGGAGAAGGGTGTTGAGCAAGTCATTCTGCATTCTTCAAGGCACTTCCTCCCCTTTCAAGCCATGCATTTGATGCTGGAAGGAAGACCACAGCATTTGCCACTTTGGCAAACCAGGGGAAGATTGAATGGTGCCAAATTCTTTAACTGCAGCAACTTGTTAAGGCACCAGTCAGTTGGTGTTGTAGTAAGGTCTTTTCCACCAGGGGGCTTTCTTACTTCGTCTGGCAACTCTTTCTTCCACTTGACCAGGTCATACTTCAGAACTTGCCACTCGTCTAAAAACTGCTTTCTATCACTGTCTGTGTCAAAGTACTGCTGAGCCAAAAGTTTCCCATGCACATTGCCATACTCGGAAAATCCTGGTTCATTCCTTTCTGGCACATGTGCTGGATTGAATATACTAAATGCAGAAAGGAGTAGAAGGGTAGGGAATCCATTATTAATACTCTCTTTCAGCGAACTGACATATTTAGGCAGGAAATTTCTGAGAAACTGTTTATCTCTGTCAGAGAGAGTAAGCTCAGCTTGTCTCAGTCTGCCACTTGGAGAAAGATCACTTTAGAACTCAGTGATAGGAGCTTCTGTCTGCGAAATCTTGTTCAGGTCATCAATATACTTTTCAAGTGCTGGTTGAATGTGTCCAAAAGAAACCTTTCCTTGCTGGAATGTACAGCTCAGTCTGTTGAGGATAGGGAGTCTATGATTCATGATTGTGACTGAAAAAATGAATTTAGCATTATGTATCTTCCCTAGGAGGCCTGATGCTTGCGCATTCTGTTCCTCAAAATGCTTAAGAGTAAGCATCAGGGGTATATAGTCTCTATGCACTCCCTCTATAGCTTTTCCCAGAGAAAGCCATCTTGTCCGTGTACCTTTTGCAAGTCTCTGCACGCATTTCTCTTTTGCCTCTTTGGAGGCTCTTGCAGCTGTTTTACTAACATCTCAATCTTCAGATACGCTGCAAGGCGTTTTGGAGAATTGTCAAAGAACTTCCACACACGAAGGAGCCACCTCTCCACTTCTTGCACATAGGCAAGGCCCTCATTTGTGTTGCAACAAGCAACTGACAACTTGTGACAGATGCAGTGGATGCTAACAAGATGCCTGTTGATGGGTTTCAACCTTGCTGCAACCCCAATGCTTTTTCCAGTCATAACGGACGCTCCATCAGTGCAAAGGGCAATTAAAGGATCCACCGGAAATTCACAGTTATTTAGCTTTGTTACAAGAAAGTTGGGGATAGTTTCTGCATTTGCAGAATCCGATTCTGCTGACAAATCATTTACACTCAGAAACTTGATTTCTACATTACTGGAAGACAATATATCAGTAGTATATGCAATGATGAGTGCTTACTACTTGGTAGAAAGTCTTAATAGATGTGCTACACAGAACACAAATTATTACTGTGTGTTATAGACCTCCACTGACTAATACCCCACAAAATAAAACCTCCTGCTTCTCAAACAAGATCCCGTTACCCTTGGATTTGACCGCATTTTTCCATTCATTTACTATCAGCTACTTCAAACTCACTTAATTTTAACTCCTGGTCAACTGCCACTAATGTTATTTTCCATTGGTTTAAATTTACTCTTAACTTAAATTTACTCTTAACTGATAAGTCAAACATCAAGTAAGAAGACTCATTGATAGACGTCAAAGTGTCAGAACATACCTGATTGAGTCCTCCCAGTGGTTCCCCTGCTGGTTGCTCCTTCTAGCAGATCCCCTAGATGCTGCTGCTTTCCTCCTTCCCCTGTTTCCCCCAGTGGCTGTTTGTCTTCCTCTTGTGGTGATTCCTCTTGAGGCTGTCGCTCTCCATTGACTTCACCTCTTTCCTCTGCTTTGCATTACAAAAATAACAATTTTTTAGTACTATCTACAATAATGAGTCCTTATTCCTTGTTAGAAAGTCTTTAATGGATGTGCTACAAAGAACACAAATCATAATTGTGTGCTATAGACCCTTACTGACTAATACCCCACTAAATCGAACCCCTCCCCCCACTATCTCAAACAAGATCCTATTTTCGCTTGGATTTGACTACATCTTTCTATTTATTTTTTTACTATCAGCTACCTTATCCTCACGTACTTTTAACTCCCTGTCAATGAAACTAATTTCATTTTCCATTGGCTTAAATTTACCCTTAGTTGATAACTCAAACATCAAGTAAAACAAAAACTTATTGATGGACATCAACGTATCAGAACAGACCTAATTTCCTCCCAGCGGTTCCCCTACTGGCTGCTACATCTAACACATCCCCTGGAGGCTGTTCTTCTCCTCCTTCTGCTGTTTCTCCTGGTGGCTGTTCTACTCCCCCTACTGCTGGTTGCCCTGTATACAATAAGGACTTGTCATTACTTGTTAGAGATAATGGTCTGACACAATTTTATAATTGTTCATGAAAAGAAACCGTAAAAGTGAACAACAGCTCCCGTGATCGGCTATCGGTAACCTATGAGCCAACTGTTGCCAGACACATTACTGACAGCTGGCTGAATGAACCATTTTTTGTCTTTACTTTAATCTCCTACGTTGTATTTTAACCCTAAAAAAGACTTGTTTGCTTTATAGCAGAGAGGATGTTTGTCAATCACTACAATGCATTGCAAAACCACAGTATTTTTCCATTCATTTACCATCAGCTACCTCAAACTCACTTGATTTCAACTCCCTGTCAACTGCAGCTACTGTTCTTTTCCATTGGTTTAAATTTACCCTTAACTGATAACTTAAACATTAAGCAAAAAAGTCATTGATAGACGTCAGAGTGTCAAAATATAATGTATTTTCTGCATTTTGAGTGAACATTAAAGTTTTGTTGGATACCACACCTCCTTCCCCTGTTTTCCCTGGTGGCTGTTCTTTTCCCCCTTCTACTGATTGCAGTTGCTCACTACTGCTTTCACCTCTTTGCTCTGGTTTTCATCACAAAAATGACAATATATCAGTAGTATATACAATGATGAGTGCTTACTACTTGGTAGAAAGTCTTAATAGATGTGCTACACAGAACACAAAATTCATTATTACTGTGTGTTATAGACCTCCACAGACTCATACCCCACTACATTAAACCTCCTGCTTCTCAAACAAGATCCCGTTACCCTTGGATTTGACCGCATTTTTTCATTCATTTACTATCAGCTACCTCAAACTCACTTAATTTTAACTCCTGGTCAACTGCCACTAATGTTATTTTCCATTGGTTTAAATTTACTCTTAACTGATAAGTCAAACATCTACTAAAAAGACCTACTGATCGACGTCAAAGTGTCAGAACATACCTGATTGAGTCCTCCCAGTGGTTCCCCTGCTGGTTGCTCCTTCTAGCAGATCCCCTAGATGCTGCTGCTTTCCTCCTTCCCCTGTTTCCCCCAGTGGCTGTTTGTCTTCCTCTTGTGGTGATTCCTCTTGAGGCTGTCGCTCTCCATTGACTTCACCTCTTTCCTCTGCTTTTCATTACAAAAATAACAATTTTTCAGTGGTATATACAATAACGAGTCCTTATTCCTTGTTAGAAAGTCTTTAATAGATGTGCTACAGAAAATATAAATTATTATTGTGTGTTGTAGACCTCCACTGACTCATACCCCACTAAATGAAACCTCCTGCTTCTTAAAGAAGGTCCCATTTCCCTTGAATTTGACTGCATTTTTCTATTCATTTACTATCAGCTACTTCAAACTCACTTAATTTTAACTCCTAGTCAACTGCAACCAATGTTATTTTCCATTGTTTTAAATTTACCCTTAACTGATAACTCAAACATAAAGTAAAAAGACCCATTGATAGACATCAAAGTGTCAGAACATACCTGATTGAGTCCTTCCAGTGGCTCCTCCGCTGGTTGCTCTTTCTAGCAGATCCCCCGGAGGCTGCTTCTTTCTCTGTTCCCCTGTCTTCCCTGGTGGCTGTATATCTTCTCCTTGCAGTGATTCTTCTTGAGGCTCTTCACTGCTTTCACTTGTTTCCTCTGGTTTTCATTACAAAAATGACAATTTTCCAGTAGTTTTATACAATAATGAGTCCTTATTCCTTGTTAGAAAGTCCTTATAGATGTGCTACAGAGAACACAGATCATAATTGTGTGCTGTGGACCCCCACTGACTAACACCCCACTAAATCGAACCCACC